AACATAGATTCAGGCTCAAAATGAGCACCTTGATATGTGCTTGATAATGGCTTTGTCTCCATTCAAACCCAGGTTTAAAGCCTTGCAGGGCAGCATAAAGCCCACTGCTCTCATTAAGCCATAGAAAAGAAAAAAACCCAACAAACTGTCAGTTCAGGTGTTTTATAAAATATGTGAGTCAGGAAATTGTCAATATAACAAACTGAACGATGTTCAGTTTGTTTTCTACTTCAAAAAACACTTTAGATTTTAAAAGGGAAAATTTTTCTAAATTTCCTTTTTATATTTTTTTTTATTTATTATTATTATTTTTTTTTAATTCAAAAATTCAATGTATAACACGGAGGCACAAAAACCTCATTTTATTTCAGTGTTAGATTCTTTTTGAAGTAACAGATTATGAGTAAAAAATGTCTCTAGACCTTTACTGGTTGATGATTTTCTTTATTTGGACCCCGCTGATTTATAATTAGTTACCCCTGGTCTAGGTGTTTGGGTTGAAGCTTTTCATTTAGAACTCTACCTCTTCTGGGGTATTTCAGGTATGCAGTGGGTATTGACCCTGCAGCTCAGTGCAGCTTAAAAGCTCCCGTAGTTCAAACTGTCAAAGACACCCGATTGTCCTGAAGGTGTCAGCACTACGATGTGGTGCTTATGGGGTTGCTATAAAAAAATGTGGCCTGGTCTTGTAATAATATAATAGAACTTTATTGATCTCACATTGCAGAAATTTAGTGGTGGGGCGCCTGGGGAGCAATCAGGGGTAAAGGGTCATACTCGGAGACCCAGAGTGTCTGTGGGAGTTAGACTTGAACTCAGGACCTCAGGATTCCGAGCTCTATACCCTAACCACTAGGCCACCACTTCCCTTTTATTTATTTAATATGTAATGAATTATTTTAGATCATATGCATGGTCAGGTGCGTGCCTGTTGCTTAGCTGGGGTAGCAACCGGATGCAAAATGGGAGGAGGCAAATCTTTTTTTCGCCATCCTGATGATTTTGAATCTCATCGAGTCAACTTCTCGTCTAGATAATTAAATAGGGTTGCTGAAATGTGGCAGGTGCACGCAGATGTTGAGCTGCAGGACATTCAGTAACGCAGACCTGGCATGTTGAACAAGAAACACAACACCATAAGGAGGTTTCCTCGCAGTGGGCTCATACTGGCCCACATTGAGGTCAGAGTCCAAATGAAAAACTCTTTTTGTGTTGTTGAGTGAACACTGCTGCCACTGTCAGGTCAAAGTTAAGAAAAGCTGGGTGTGTGGGGGTTAAAAGCTTCCACACACCCACCAGTTTCTGAGGAACCAAAGAATGTGTGCATCAGTAAATGCTGGATGAAAAAAGAAAGGGGAGAAAAATAAGATGTTGAGTTTTTCTATCCACCAAAAAAGCATCATTTGCTACATCGGTTATTTTTCCTCTGATTTTAGCACAAATCAGAACATTCTCATATTGTCCAGCATTGATCTTTGTTATTCCACAAGCTTATAGATGAAGAAACCTTATCATTATTCCTCTACTCCCCTACAGAGGAAATAAATGAATTGGTGTGTCTCAGGAAGTAAAGCTTTATTTGAAATTTTAATTTCTATTTTCTGCCGTTTGATAAAATCCTGAAGTTAATATCAACTAAAAGAAGAAATAATAAATATGTTCGATTGGTAAAAAACGTTGGATCCCAGTTCTTCTTTTCAGTGATGTTTTCTTGAAGGTGCAAGTTGGTTGCAAACATGCGTAGACAGCTGGTAAAAATTGCTGCTTGCAATCATAATCAGTGGGGAAGCTGAAATCTGTTTGGCTATTGATGGCTGATGAATGCAAAGTACAGCTGCTTCCACCTTTTCCCATCTAACGAGCTTCTTGACTCCCTGTGTCAGCTTTGTTTTTTCTTGGCTCCATGCACTTGTTTATAATATTTTTCGTCTTTGAAATCAGCTTTTAAAAAGTCTTGGCTGGTAATTATTCTTTTGAAAATGCTGCACTTATTAGCGTCTTTTCTTTTTTTTCCCTACATCATGTCAAAAAGCCACAACACTGTCGTAGTCTGGAGTTTAACTAGAAAGACATTTAGGAAGCAGATAAATGAAAGCCCTACTAGGCTGCTGCCATCTTTCATATTCTAAGATAACGTCTAGGAAAGAAACACACTACCAATGTGTTTTTTGTAATTCAGTAAGTTTACAGGTATATGCATGCGTCAGATAATGAACTCAAGCCTACATTACCGTGTTA